AAAATGTTAAACTTAATGATGAATTCTGAAACTTTATCACCAAGGGTAAGGCATACGTAAGTGCATAATTGGAGAGTGGGGCTTGGTTGGGAAGTGCTACAAACTACTTGGCAGTAGCAGTATTTAGTAAGAGAATTCACGTGTTAAATAAATTATATAAAAAAATCATTGAATGTTTGGAAATCCCTTAAACACTGCCATGGCTTTCCAAAATAGAGTATCACTTTTAGTAAGTACAACACTCAGCTTAGGAAAAACATCATGTTTGTTACAGCATGGAGGTACTATTATTGAGAAGGAGATCACTCAAAAAAGCTCCGCGCACACAGTGCTTAAAGAACGTATGCGCTATGCCTTTGAAGTCTAATGTATTCCCCGCCACCAAATGCTCATCAGGCTTATTTTACCAAAAAATTAAACATAGCGAAATGGAGAGCACCTTCTTTTCTCAATGCGCATTACTTACAGATAATCCAATCACTATGGCTGCGCAATTGTTTCCATCTTGATGCTAATACATTTATCTTTCATGAAATACCAAATATACAGTATTAATATTTCTATAAAAAAATAATAATTTCAAATTTAATTGAACATTTACATGAGCTTTAAAAGTATGGTATATTTCAACTTGAGTTTCCATAAATTGGATAAAACTTGACATAAGATAATACGCCCGCGAGCAATCCAAAGGCGGCGAACACACTAGTTTGTCGCGTCAAATGGATCTGTTGCCGAGTGATCTTCTCAATAATACCTCCATGGTTACAGCTGTTATTCAAAAGTATTTATATGGAGGCTGTTTAGGTATGCACAACTTTGTCTTCAGTACTGAGTACAATGCACAAATGTCAATGTAATTCATATCATTGAATGTTGTGTATAACTTTGCTGGCAAAATGAAGGTCTTTGACAGTATGACACTGGTAGCTACAATGCACGGATGTTAATCATTCCCAGATTACTACAAATCTTATCAAATATTACCATCAAAAAGGAAATTGTTGGAAAAAAGTTATGTAGAGCCATATGCTAAACTTCTCAGATATTATATGCTGTAGCTATTTATTAAATATTGTTAGAATTACATAACAGAGGAAAGCTACCAACTATTTGAGGTAGTTATAATTATAGTACAGTAGTAAAATAAATATTGTAGAACCAAGATAAACACACAATATTGTTCTTAAGTCTATGCTTCATCTTAAATGTGATTTTCATGATCTTAAATATAAATTCCTTACTTGTTGTGTAGATATTTTTGAAAAATGTCCTGATACAGATTTTTATAACAATGTCTTTGATTTTGATAACTTAACATTTAATTCTTTTTCTTTAAGTACTCTTAAAAATGATGTGTCAGAATGGTATAAAGCAGAGTGGTCTGACAAATTAACTAAAAAAATCTTGTTACACAATTATTCAAAACTTCAATCTTCTCCCAAATTACAACAATACTTACTGGACAAAACTAATTTCTATGGGGCAAGCTTAAAATTCAAGTTAAGATCTAACACGCTACCCCTTGATTGTAAAACATATAAATGGTCCACTAACGTCCCAGGAGTTTGTACCCTTTGTGACAGTGGAGAAATTGAAGATGAAAAGCATTTCTTATTAAAATGTACAGAATTTGATGACATTAGAAACGAACTAACAAATTTAAGAAGTAAACTTGCACTCTGTGATCTTTCTGTTACATGGACATTTTTTACATCAATTGCTGATGGTAAATTATTGTATATTTTAGGAGCAGACTCAGTTTCTTTTTGTGATGATTCTGCTTTTATTTTTGATAGTTACTGTAAAAAATATGCAATAATGCCTGGGAAAAATGCTCAGAATTTAAAAAGACTCTGAGTTAATTGGAAAATGGTTTAAAACTAATGTATTGTTGCTTTAAATTTTTGTTTTCTTTATGAGTTTATACAGTACATGTATATGTGTGTGTACATGTGTATGCATATGTGAGTGTATGTGTGTGTGTGTGTGTGTGTGTGTGTATATGGGTATATGGATACACACACATATGTTCATGATTTTGGTGATTTTTCTTATTTTTACTTGATTTTCGTAATTCCTGTTTTAATTTTGATTTCATTTTTTTTTTTACGTTTTGATTCTGTACCATTAGTTTACATTTCCAAAATTTAAGCCCATACTGTAGTTAAAAACTTTTTGAGTTAAGCTACTGGCTTTCCTTTTTTTTGCATTCCCGGTTAATTTGCTTTTCTTTATATGATTTGTTTTTGTATTGGTTGTTACTTTTGTATCTTAGTTGTTATTGTTGTTAGACCGCACCACAAGTGTTGTGTGTGCCACCGTTCTAATGGTGAAGTGTCTATAAATAAATAAAAAATACACGTGCCTAGACAAACAAGCATTAAATAAAGAGTCCAGTTTTTATTAGGAACCATCTCGATAAACTATTTTAATGTGAAGGATTAGTTACCTCACACCTAGCTCATAACTACTACAATATCGTCTTCATAAAAGTCTCTTAAACTTTATCATTAACTAAGCCTCATCTTTATCATAATAATTCTAATTAGTAAGCTTAGTACACATGTGATAAACAACTTGTTGCTTTCTTTCTTTGAAGCCAATTGTCCAGAAATATGAACACAAGCTCCAAGAATGGCCCCTATAACAAAGCTTCTTCTTTGAGTTTGAAATATATATGATACCAGGGTAAAATCAATATTCACAATTGAGGGCTATTATATGATGGATAAGAGTTTTACTCACAAAGACTTACCTCTCTTTCTCTCCAATAAACAGGCAATAATATAGATTTTATTGATTTAAATAGCCAAAGCAGGTGCCTCAGCCAATAAAGTGGACAGAGTTCTGGTTTTAGTCATTGGAAAGCATCGGCAGTCTTTTACAGGTCAACTTTATGGCAACATAAAACCAAAAACCTATAAAATGTGGTCTTAAAAATAATGACACCCAAGGATCTTACATCGGCTCTTCTGATTCCTAGGACATATTCTTGATATTGTATCAACTTGGATTAAATCAAGGTACTATTCAAAGAGTATTTTTGTGGGAAAACACATTTGCTAATAATCTGAAGTTTTAAGTATAAATTAGTGACAGTGTGAGATAACCATGTAACATCTTCCTATACATTAAATTACCTAATTCAATTAGCTTTGGCAGTAATTTAATTTTGTAAATTTAATGGAGGTAGACAGATGACACAGCTGAGTAGGCCTACACCTTATTAGGAGCAAATGTATTAAAATCAGATATCCAAAATTAAAAGAAATAGTGCTATTTTAGAACAATTACAAAAATGTAAAAAATATTAATAAAAATCCAAATTATTGTTTTTAGCTACAGAAACATTTACTTTAAAATAATGGTTCTATACAAATTACAAGAATAATTCTACGTATAATACTATTTCAAATGAAAACACAACTTTGATACAATTCACAACTGATTTAGATTTCCTTCAAAAAATGCACTATGACTGCATTAAGAATATGAAGTGTAAACATATGCGATTCCTACGGATATCACTAATTCAGCTGACTCAAAGGAGAAGATACTGTAACACGTCACAAGTCTCCTCAACCATACTTTACAAAATACTAATACTATAAAGTACAATAT